AGATTCCCTCATTTCTTTTAGAATTTACCGTCAGCACAATTAAAATGACCTCAATTTTTCAAATGGAATGAATTTAGGAATATCATTAACCGATGCAGTCCTTTTTTAGCATTTGAATTGAAATCCTAATAATGATCATAGAATCTACAGCATCCAAATTAGCTAAACCCATACATTCCTCTTTCGTGGTACACGCTCCTTTGGAGAGGCCGCGGAAAGCTTTCGTGACATCTAATTTAAACCCACTTTTAATTTCAATTTACTGAGAATCGTTAGTTATAGTAATATATGTTGAATAAAGGGTGTTTGTGATGTTAATATTTTCTTATTTCAAATAATATATATTGTACTGATGGAATCGTGGATTCTGTTTCTTTATGTTCATATAATTCATATTATTTGAGAACATTTAGTTTAGAGACGTAGAATAGAACCAACGCATGTAAACTGTAGAATAATCAAAAGTTTTTTATTCTAGTTAATGAAGATGATACACTAGCTTAAAAATTTTACTATTAAAAATAGCAAAAAATAATTGAGGATCCAAAATACGATTACGATATAAACGTATAAAAATAAACATGGAGAAATTATTGCACATTCTGCGTTGTATTATAGGATCTAGTGGATGTAATAAACACCGCTATTGATTGATAACTGGTTCCTGGTGGTTAAATTGGAAAAAATATCATCTTACATATACTCGAAATCTTTTGAGCAAGTAAAGATCATCATTATATGAATTTACTTAATAAACTTGAAATAATATTGTACTATATAATCATCACGATATAATTCCACCTGTCGTGCAGAATATCATTAGTACTATTCGATACATACATATAAGACACAAGATATATGTAAGTAAATTTTACACGTAGTAGACAAAGGCAATGTTTTGATGTATTATAGCACAAAATATTAAAATTCCTAAGCCAATAATTACATATAAATAAATTTCTTAAATAAATTTAGACAAATTATATATAAACTCGATCATATTTTAGCACGAACTAATGTATAGATGTGATATTAAATAGATATTTTAAAATTAATCTTCAGTTTGAAGAACCATGTGGATTATGATAACAATTTATACAAACACGAAACCAAATTTTGGAATATAAAAGAAAATACAATCGTTTTTAAAAACATACTGTTTGTCCGTTCCTAGTCTCTTTATTTATATTTAAAAACAGACCAATATAAGAGATTTTCTGTTTACATAGATGCATTATTTTTAGCTTATAAATGTTTGCAAAGTTATGATATGATATTTTGGATATCCATAACGAATTAGAACTGGTAATCGATATTATAATACATATATCATAAAACATTAAAATTTCCCTGATGTCTCGCTGATACATAGCTGTAATTCCTCCAAAATCTTCTGAAAAACGATAACCCAATCTCGAAGAAATTGGAAATGATTAATTTTATTCGTTTTAAAACTTTATACAAATCCATTTCTTCAATAATGCAATACAGAAGAATATCAAGCGTAATAAAAAATGTTAGAATATTCATAGTTTACATAAAAGGTAATGATTTTTGTGTATATAGTGGTTGTTAATTACAGGAATTTATACCATATAAACTTTGATCTCTAAAAATATTATCAGTATGTACATCATCCGTGATTTATCGCAAAACATAACAGCAATCGTGTAATACGCATACATACAGTATTCTGCTCATTTGCGTTTCAAATTCCTAATGCATGCCCAATTCATGAAGTAAACGGAAAAAATTTTCCCTGTTGGCTGTATTTGCATCTCTATGACAATTATACATGGTGAAACGAGATGGGTTCATTGAACAGAAAAGCTGTGTTACAATACTTGTTACAGTTTTACAATTATACAATCCAAATGGTATAAAGTATCATTAAATGTCATTGTCAAAATGAATATTGACTTTCACTTTCGATGCTCGTATGAGTGTCTAATTCCTTATAGAAACAGTGTGCAGCAGAAAAGATATTCTTGGGAGTTAAACTATTTCTAATCAATTTAACTTTATATTCATATGCAAGGTAAAATATTGCTCGTGTATTATTGTTGAATTTTTAGCTAGTGAGCTTTGATACTGTCACACCTGAATGAATAACGATGACTATGCGAGTTGTATGAATTTTTCGAAAATTTAGTTGAATATTCATTATTAAAACGTTAGGCCCGTCGTTCGAAACTCACGCCTGTTTCCCAGCCTAGAGCACGGTCCTCACGCGGTTTAAACTCCAACAACATTCTGAGCCTCTGCGCGCAAAAAAAAATGTTTTGTAGTTTGAAAAGCACTTTGCATCTGTTATTAAGTGAGCTATAATAACAGAGGGGGTTAGTGTAGAACCAATGCGAGAATGTATCTAGTCCGTTGTAAGCCCAATAATTCCGTTTATTTGTTATGTTTTCGTCTTCGCAACCACTCTTCCTTCGCCTTTTGGCGCGGCATGTACCCGATCGTGACCGCGTACCTCGAGAAACCCCCTTGGAAGTCTTACCTTTTTTGTCTGTCTCCTAACGTGCATTCAGTATCCCTTTTATCCCTTCGGCCAGGCTGGGCTTTTTGCGTTCCTTTTGTAACCGGCTTCCACAGACGGTCACCCCGTCCTGGAATCCATTGTTCCTCGGTATGCATCACTTCTCAGCATTGTCAAATAATTGGCTAGCGACCGCCCGGCCTTCTGCTGCTGAGACGTCACGGCAAAGCCACGTGGAAGAGCAGCCGCTTTGAATATTTTATTAACAACAGATACTCTTCTAAATTTTACAGTAATTTATAAACATTGCTGTAATGAAAACGCATCTATTCTACGAATAAAAAAAAAAAAACTAAGTTGACAAGTTTGTATGCGCCACGTGCTAATGTGTTGTCATAATCTAAGTCAACATCGAACCAGAACCTTTCGCATTTGCGCAAATGTTCTTGTCAAATACGAAACATGAATTGCATGTCCGCTAGTTAGTTCATGGTATATACCTGAGAGATACAAGCATCGAGATGGGTTTAATGATAAATGCGTGTTTAAAGCTGCGAGTTTCTGCGTGTCGCGGCTGTGCGCGGAATTGTAAGTAACGTCAGTTATTTCATATATTTATATTATAAATCGTAAGTGTGTTTATATCAGAAAATAGAGCACGTACGTGCAGCCGTCTCACATGCACATTCAATCAAATACATTCTTATTTTATGTCGCGCCTTTTTTAATTAAAAATTAAAACCCAAAACTTAATTATTTTTATTTCACTAATTGTATAAAAAACACAAATTTAAAGTTCTATTTGCAAACACTATATCTTTTTACTGCTGAAGAGATGAGCATTTTAGGTCGCTTCAACATTAGTATTTCAGACCTCATGAATTTTGGATACGAAATAATAGCTTTGAGAAACTTGAAATTGGTTTGCTATATGTTTCCCAATGATATCAATTACTAGCTAACTTTTTATTTATTATTTACTATTTATTACAGGCGATGGACAGACGACGGCCAAATGGCAGGCGACAGACGGATAGTCAAACGGACATACGAACAACAGGCGAACGAAGGCGCTCTAAGACAGGCGACGGACAGATGGACGGGCTGGGCTACTGACTGAGGGGCTTGCAAGTACTGACGGGGAGAGGGCACTCGCTGACTGACGAGAGGACTAAAAGTTTGACTGAGACGAATGAACAAGCAGAGTGACATACGACGTGAACAACGAGGAAACAGACGGAGAGAACGCGACGTAAGGACAGACGGACGACGGGCGGCGGCGAACGACAGTTTACAGCCTGTTAGGGACCCGACCAATACGAGATTTGCTGATGAAAAAATCGCCGATTTCATACGCATAAAGACACTTCTGATGCGACTTTGACTAAAAATAATAATTACTACCCCATAGTAACGGAGGATTACTCCATGGAATGCGCCAACCGCCCCAAACGAGCGGTTTAAAGAGACGCGTTGCGCAACACGACGGAACATTTTTTTGATCTCACACCCCTCCCCCTTTATTCGAAGTTGCCAAAAAAATCAAGCAGCAATATCATATCTGTATGTAGTTAGAAGTCATGTGCAAACTGAAGAGAGAGTGTACTTGAGTTAGACAAGAACATTAATTTTATTATTATTGATGATTATTATTATTAATTATTTATTATTATTAATATTATTAATTTTATTATGTTGTATTATATCTATAAATACCAAATTCCTACGGGTTAAACCTCGCCCCAACGCCCCGCCCCCTTAGTATGCTATACCACTTCAAGTGAAGATATTGCTCTCTCCCGACAGCAATTACGATTGACGAGACGCAGTACAATCAGTGTGTAAACAAGACTAGCGAGACGTTAGTGAGCGGAAGTGTGTCGTTCCTCTCCTTTAAAGCGGCGTGGAGTGACTTGCGTGTTGCTGTTGCAGGATGGCAGCTTCACGTCGGCCCCAAATCCTGAACGACGACAGCCACGGGACAATACGTGCGCGGTGCCCGCCGCCAGCAGCCGGAGGAGGGCTGGTCGCTGCATGGAAGGAGCTGCCGAGCGCCGGCGCCGCTGGTGCGGCGCGCCTTTCGCCACGCGCCCGCGCCCGCCCCGCGCCCCCCCCGCGCCCGCCCCGCCCGCCCGCAGCGCCCCGCGCCCGCCCCGACCCAAGGTACGAAAAACGCTCCGACGCACAGGCCCATTCTGGCCCACTCTGGGGCGGATCGTAGACTTTCGTTCAATAAGAAACATATTTGTTATTATATTGTATATTATTTTTGTAGTGTGAAGATGATAAAATACAATATTATTTTTTAAAATAATTACATAATTTAAACAAGTATTGAAATCAATTTTGCGAAGTAAAGAGAGGTAATAAACGAAAACTCTTGGCCTTTGGGAGGGGGCACGACCCCCATTGCCGGCCCTCGATCCGCCAAAGGTTCTACTCAACAACACCGGGGGTTCCCTCGCCCACTCGTGCGACAACCTGCGTCTGCAAAAGTGCAGCTATTATTCATCGCCCAATGTCTGCTAAGCGGAAGAAAAGTGCTAGCCTCCATGTTGGAGTACGGGTAGTTGTGGCTGACGCAATTCCTTGAAACTAAGAAATTGTTTCAATAACAACATTGTCGTTGTGACTGTGTGTGTGTGATGCAAGAATGAATACGCAGATTTTATTTTCAAGTGTAATTTTTGAAGAATGTTTTTATCTCTGCAAAAGAAAACAAGATTTCAACATTTTTAATTTCCTTTTCGACAAATTGATTATGTTCCAATTTTCGACAAAAACAATGATATTCCAGCAATGTTTTTATTCTAAAGAAGAATGTCAGTTCTAGTTCAATTTTTGGGGACAGAATCGGACTTAAAACATATCTAAACCAAAGAACCAAATGCAAACGCACCTAATAGACATAACTTTAGAAAAACGTATTCAATTTTTTGATGGTTTTTTTTGTTTTTGTTTTTTTTTTGTAAGAAATCGTCCATACTTTAAAGCCGGCTAACTCTACAAATTTGTGCGAACTAAAGCCCATAGCAAGCTGCCAAATTCATACTTTTCTAAAGTTAAAAACATTGTTTTGAAATCGTTACTGCAGGGGCAGTACCTAGGGGATAAAATCAATTTTCAACTAAATCGCTATTAAGAGGTAATTTCCATCTTTCAAAAATCCTTCCATTTGAATGAAAATTGACGATGTTATTGATGTTACTGACATTACTTTCATCTGAATGTGGCTCATTTGTATGAATTGATAGTTTGCTTTTTTTCCTAATGTGTATCCAATGGCGCATCTCTCTACTGAGTACATTTAGCACCAACAAGTTAAATATATTCATTTAAATTATATTGGTCGCGTCTCCACTTCATAACATGGTAACTCCCATCATGTTGAAATGAAAATTTTAAAATCTCGGATGATTTCCAGCAGAAATGGAAAACAAGTTTAGGCAATCGTTCGTTCCGGAGTTGTCTTCTGAACGCCGCGCGAGATCATTAGTTTGTATGGCAAGGTCTGTTGGGTCTCCAGTAACGATTTTCGGTGTTTTAGATTAAGGTAAAAATGAAATGGCGAAAGGAAAAACCAATGAACCTTTTGAAAGCTACGAACGAACCACCCAATTTATGGAGAATTATGTGAAATGAGTCTAGGGACAGGGAGGAACTGAGGCATTTGGGGAGGAGGCGGTTGGGTTCAGCTGCTCCTGGGAGGCATTCGAAAATGGCACCAACGCGACCGTAATACAGCTGATGCCTGCTGAAAATGTAAGAATAATACAAAGTTCATATCATTCAAATAGAAGGATGCCTCAATCCATCGCCTTTGTGAACAAAAATCCTGCCAACATGTTAACAAGTGCTGACGCAATATAAATGGTGTAGCATTCAATATACACATTTAGCTTGTTGCAATATTCGACGTGTATATGTTTCACGTATTACACGTTTGTGTTAAGTGTGAAGAGCTGGGAATGCGCCTTAAGGGAGAGGCATATTACACTCGCATCATCCTTCGCTGATCTCCCTTACCCCGTAGCTCTCCATCTCGAATGTCCTTAAAAGTATTTCATGTACAAAGTAATTACAAAATTTGCATCTTCTACTGTTTAGAAAATGGAGATGGTCCTTCGGGTCCGTTTCACTTGAGGATACTGCAGTGGAACGTACTCTCCCAGAGTAAGTATTAACAAAAGATCTGACATTAATAATTTTTATACAATTAGTTTAATTTCAAGACATTATACCGTTACAAAAGACCTTCCGTTAATAAAATATTTCGGTTTCCGTTTTTGATAGCAAAATGTTTCGATTTCGGTTGTGATTTTTAAACTGTTCTAAACAGTTATCTTGTATTTTTTAATAATTTCGAAAATAATGATAATATCGTAGAACTTAGATAAATCAATTTTTTTCAATTTGTTTTCGCTGAGGACAAAACCTTGATAATTTAAAGTAAAGAAGTCATTTTATAATACATGTAACCGTACATTATATCTAATTGTTTAATTTTTGATCATATATCGTCATACTTAAATTATGTTTATTGAAAAAAAAATTGTGTGAATGTATGTTTGTATTTGAAAGGTCGATACCCACTGTTCAGCCGCCTTTTTTCAGTACGCAATACGCTATAGCATTATAGCGTATATTCAATTTCCTTCAGTGTCCTCGTGAATTTGCCTTAACATTTAACAAAATGAAATAACTGTCACTGAAATTACTTGTTAATAAACAACTCAAATGAGTCGCACATATATAAAAGTTTTTGATTTTTAGCTGTCCGCAGAAACAACTCGCCACGGTGACTCTTAATATCTAATCCACAGTCTCTGCATGGGACAAACGTATTTTTCGCGATTTCGACACTGACTCATTTCTACTTATGTATTGCAGTGTCGATTGTCGATTAGAGGTTACCACAATATGTACAAGATACTGGATCCTCTATGTCCTAAATCGTTTTATGAAACTTTCATCTCAGTACCTTAAACAGTTAATAAAATATTGGAGGTGGACGTTTGTATTGGCTAACCTGTGTAATATACCGGGTGTCTCACCAACTATTGGTTAACAATGCGGAATCATGAGGCAAATAATAGTGAATCTTAATCCCCTGGATTTACGTACCAGCTAATTATGTATTAACATAAGTAATATTACAAAATATACAGGTGCCCCACGAAGTATGGGCCACTTCCATAATTAAACATAACCCACATCTAAATAGTTCACGATATCAAAATGTAGTTTCCGCTCAACAATGTGAAATCATAAAAAAATATGCCGTGGAGATATTGCTAAAAATATTTTTAGTCTGCGAGAAATTTAACTGTATTTCAATTTTTAAATGGCATTATATATTTTTCCTACCAGCAATGGATAGATCATAAAAAAGAGGAATCCAATGATGTATGATAAGTTAATATTTTTATAGTTACTTGAGTCTAAAATTGAACTTTCTGGCATCTGATTTTAAATTAAACAGGCTATTCTACTCGTGAAATAAAAACCAATAGTGTTTAATAATACATATATAAAATGCTCCAATCAGGGCGGTGTATCAAAAAAAATCATTTCTTTTTCTATCAGTCTTTTCTTACAGCCGGCCAATAATATCGGCTAATAACTTGCGAGTCATCTATCTTAGAAAGCTGTATGTATCGATTGCTGTGTTGATGTGCAATAAACCGTGAATGCAGGGCTTGATTATAAAATTTTAGGTCTCGGGATGCGCCCTGAATTAATTATTAATTTAATAAAAATAGTTATATATTTATAATATAATTTAATAATTATTCCGGAGGTACTAGAACGCCGGAAAATATTTCGAAAGGAAAAGTATTATGAACAATATTTGTACAACATATTATTTGCTCCGTGATTTCGCATTGTTGAGCTAAAACTGCATTTCGATATCGTAAACCGCTTAGAAGATATGAGGTGACCCACAAATCGTGGGACACCCGGTAAGTTACGGGAATGACAACTATGAATAATGAGATTAGATGAATTATTAGGCTCGTTCAACCTAAAGCATAAAATGTTTTCAATATGTTTTCCTCAAAATTAATTATTGTTCCTCATAAGAAAAAAACTCTTTTAATTACCAAATTTAAAAACAACCTAAAATACATCAATAGCCAGAAACCTTATTTTATAATGAACAATAATATATTGCAAAATCATTTAATTTGAAAAAGTAAACAATTAAAGTACTTCTTTCATAATGATTCCTTTTTTCACGTCATCATTCAGTACCAGAAAATCATGACATAACAAAATAATATTTCTACTGATTTGAGAAAATCTTCCTTATTTTTTCAGCCTTGGGAAAGTCTAATGACAACTTTGTTTGTTGTCCTGACGAAGCACTAGAGTGGTCTGCTCGAAGATACCAGATTATTCAAGAAATAGTTCAATATTCACCTGATGTCATTTGTTTACAGGTATGAAAAAGTAATTTTATTTAATATCTATTTCACTCATCAACTGTTATTCCTAAATTTCATGCCCGAGGGCAGTGGCGTGAAAGAGGGGCAAAATAACGCAACGAACTACTTCAAATTCAAAACGCAACAAATAAGATTTCTTGCATTGACTTGCGATGAGGCAAAAAAGAGAAAAATCAATCCGCTCGGTGGCTTCCGCCAACCCACATTGCGAGCCTCCTTCGTCCACATCCGTTCTGGCCTTGTCCGCCCTTGTCGCGGGGCTGGAGTGTGACACGATTATGGGGCGGATTGTAATGACCTAAAAATGCTCTTAAAATGTTTTTAAAGTGCCTTGAAAGCAAAGAAAAAGTATGTAAAACAAAAAGGTGATCAAAACCAGTTGAGATGAACAACTCCAGCTATTGGATACGTTACTGATGTAATCGAGACTTCCTCTATTCAAGTGAACGCAGCTTTCAAACGTTTGGTTTGGGCTGTTCTTTACCAGGATTTCTCTGTCTTTAGTTATCGTGAAATCGGTCTAATTGACAAAGGCGCTGATAAGCCTCACAAGAACCTTAGATTGCATACTCACAACGGCTGACGATACAATTTCAGAGCGAAGAAATCCAATAGGCTACTCAGAAGCTCTGTGCAGAACATTTGTTGTTTATCATAAATATTATTTGAAACAAGTACCATTGAAATTATATTAAAATTGATTAAATCAGCAAAAATTCATTAAAATTAACGGGATAAGTTAAAAAATGATTTATAACTCGACATTGACAAAAAATACACAAAAAACTATATAGATTGTTAATTTCCTTTTGTCATAACATAAAATTAATTTATATACTAAACGGCATTGTTCTAAAACAAAAAAAAATACATTTCATTAAAATCATCCCCCTAGACATGACTCCTCGCACACGATGCGTTCATCTAGTTGTCAGAGAAGTCTTTAGATGACTTTTCAAAGCAGGAAACCTATCTCGTCTGGCCGCAGGAGTGCTGAGATATGGAAGATCAACACCTGGGACAAGGAAAGGCCGAGATCTCCTCCTCAAGCAGATTTCCGTTGATTTCTATGCGGTTTGCTTGAACACGCGCGAAACTTAAAACTCAAATTACATTTCTCGACTGCTATTAACTCAATTTTACATTTTCCTCGAAACATTGAAGCAAATATTTTAGTTGGTAATTGCAAATATTTTAGTTGGCAATCAGAAGAAGAAAATATGCAAGGAGGACTTATCTCCTGCCACTACCTGAAAACGTCACTGCCTGAGGGTTTCAATAATTATTTCAAGATATATTTATTGTTTATTATATGATACATCCGCCTAATATATATTTTTTTGGAAAATGTGGAACTACTGTTGCTCTATCGCGTTTGGCAAAAAATGTGAATTTGGTCAGTAAGAAAAAATAAGAGTATTGAAGTATTCTTTTTTGGTTTCCGACAGGTCCTTATTGTAATACATTTTGTATAATTATTTTAAAAATTGTTACACTAAGGATCTGATTAAAACTACAATTAAAGTTAACAACAGTTAACAGTTGCGGTGAACTGCTAATTGACGTTGCATTATGATTGTGAGGGATGACTTCAAACGAAAAAAATAAAAAATTACTTTTAACCAAAAATGAAACAGTAATTCGAAATTCAGTCGAACTACAATGAATAGTAATCCATTTTTTGTCAAGAGTAATAAAAGTGTTAATAATTATTTGAGTGCATTGATGTGCATTACGTGATATTTCATGCCCTTGTCCTTCATGAATACAAGCAGTTTTAAACATTACAGGAAGTGGATCATTTCAACTTCCTCCAAGCTATTCTGGGCTCTCTGGGATACAGTGGCACATTCTTTCCTAAACCGGATTCTCCATGCTTGTACATTCAAGGCAACAATGGCCCAGATGGGTGTGCAATTTTCTTTAACGATAGTAAATTTGAATTACTAAAGACAGAATCAAGGATTTTGGAAGTATGGAGAGTACAAAGTAATCAGGTAAGTTTTGATGTTTCTTTATCTTTGAAATAAATTAATTCACAAATCAGAGTTATTGAGAGAATCTGGAAGCCTTTTCAGCTAATCTCTATAAATATATAATTATGATTTTATTACTGTGATGTCAAGGTCACGGGCAAGGTAACTAGCATAATGGAGTTCGCAGGTTCTTGTCCGAAGCAACTGGCGCGAGATTTAAATGTAGGGATTATACAAAAAGGAGTGGGGGTACATCACTGAATGCCTATCCCTCGAGTCTTTTGAAGAAGTCGGTTGACAGCTAGAGCTATATTAATTCCTATTGCCTCTACTAAAGAAAGAAATAATTATACGATCATATTACGGACATACCACGCTTTTTCTAAATTTAGCAAATGGATGTATCCACTTTTTCGTTACCAGGGCCCTGTAATAAGAGTTTTTCTGCTGAAAATTCGCCGTTTTTCGCGCAGCAATACATATCTTTCTCTCTAATGCTTAAGCGGTAGCGAGAAAGTAATACAAATAATTGTTTTATTTTGCATCTTACTGCGTGTACCCACTGTATTTTCATTCTCAGTGCGACAAGACTCCAAGGAAGAGGCAGTCCGCAATTAAGTAGCTATTCAGGTGTTTAGTTATGGAATAGCCCACTTTTACTTTCTCGCTAACGCTTACGCAGTAGAGAGAAAGTTATGTAATGCTGTGGGAAAAAAGCGGCGAATTTTCAGCAGAAAAACTCGTATTGGATTTCATATCAGGTTAATATTTACGAATGTTGATAGTTTTTAAGTTATATTGAGATAAAGTTGAATAATTCAGGCTTTTTCATGTGATTCGCTTATGTCACCAAATTTCGGGGTGCTAAATAAGAGTGCTGACAGCTAAACAGTGATTTAGAGAAAAAAACCTTAATGACATTAAATGTAGATAATTTTATCTTTCTTTATTTCATACATGTCGATTAATTACGAAAAATGAGTGACTTTTGCGTTATTGAAAAAAATGAAAAAGGCGTAATTTTTTATACTTTTTTTTTTCTTCTCAAAAACGTGTTTCAGGACAAAATTGTTGTTGACAAACCTGATATTCGTATTCAGCGACCCCAAAAACATATAGGACCCAAATATCAAAACTACACTAACACTTTCTCTTATTTTCTACCACTTGACTGGACTACTAAGGGCCTCTGCACACGAGCGTTGCGTTGACGCGCGTCAAAAATAACCCTGTGTTACGCGAAACCGCACACGACCTAAGTATCTAGTATCTGTAACTCAGATCACGGCATTAAACGCGCTTATCTAATCTTTCAGAAAGGATGTAACAATATTACCAACGTCAGAATATAAGTATTTGATCAGTAAACCACTTGCAAATCCATACGAGTAGGACCGCTGGCTAATTTTACTGAATGAATCCATACGAGTAGGACCGCTGGCAACAACGCGCAACGCACAGGCTCAGTTCTGAGGATTGGGCCGGAGATGCACTAATGTTTCTTCCTCCGCACGGGCACCCTGAAGGGGAGGTAGTTGGGTCAATTGGCCTCAATTGGAGCCCCGATTTTTTTTTTCATTCAAAACAAAAACTGTATTTACTTCTAGTTGAAATTAACCGCCGTAAGTTATTTCTCTTGTGTGGAGAAATGAATTGTATATATTAGGGGACTTCTTTGAAATACAGACTTAGTTTTCTTAGCCTCTTAGTTTCTCCGGGCATTCCTGTTCCCCTCCCGTACGTTTTGCAGCCCAAGTTTTACTTTCTCTTATAGAATAGGTTACGTATTGCTGATAAAAATCGATCTCAAAATTCTGCTGGAAAATCTCGTGTTGAGGGCATTGAAACCGAAACTGATAACGAAAGTGTTTTCTTACTTTCTCATATACGTGGTATAGAAAACGTGCATTGTGTAGTCAAAATGCCTAGTCTGGGGCAAAAAAATTCGTTTTGTGTGTTTGATACTGAAAAAGTGGATTTTTCTTGCTTCTACTTTTAGTAAATTACATTCTCGAATGATATTGAAGGGCTTAGAGTAGTAACAAGGTAAACCACAGCAAGTTTCGGTTATTCGTATTTGTTAATATCCCTATTTTGTTCGATGTCCTTTCTTGTTTCTACTTCTCCAAGCCCTTTATAAATATGAACAAAAAGTGGCGATTGGTCCTAAGGGGCCATATGCGCTGGAACCCACCAACATTCAGTAAGATTTGATAACTTTTCAGCATGCTCTGAGTGACAATTATAGTCCATTAGAATTGTTTACTCGTAAAGAGGGGCAATGCGTCTGCACTAATCGACGGCTTCGTAGGAACTCGTGCCTAATCCATGAAGGAATATAAATATTCTATGTACTTCCATTATAAATATTATAGAATATAATATAGGATATAGAATATAAATATTCTCTATCCCTAAGATTTATGGACGTATTTGTCTCTAAGACTAAAATGTAGCTAAGCGGTAACTCCGCGCCGTTGTCAAAGTCAGTGCCTTTCCGTGTTCTCTGCGCGGCCACTCTTGGCTAGTTCGTATTTACGGCAGTCTTTGCAGCCCGCGCTAGCGGGTTCTTACCAGCGAAAGCACATTTGCTGCGTTTTGCCAAGTATACGTCACATTCTGCTCTCTGTGAGATGAACATTGTAAATTCTTCATGCTGTATTAAGGTGTCTTCATTTAGACCAACGAGTTAGAGATACATAGAGAGGCAAACAGCTATATTTCAGCGCTCCTTGCGTGATATTCGTGA